ATTATTTTTTTCCTCTTTGATATATTAACGATACTTCATAGATATATATATATATATATATATATATATATATATATATATATTTTTTCACCCCTTCGGGCGGAAAATGTCAACTTTCCGCCCGCTGTGCAAAATGAAGTTGCCGCTTTTCGCCTACGTCGTGAAGAAAAAAAGTATACACACCATGGGCAATAAATAAGAAAGCCTCAGAGCACATGTTTATTGACCTCGGCTTTGTCTCTGACAAAACAATTACATGTGCTCTGAGACATTTCTTACTTTATCACCCTAGGTATGTAATATACTATTACTTTGCGCGTTTGTTCCTCTCATTCGTTCATTCATTCGTTCATTTATTTGTTAGTTAATTAATTCGATAAAATATGCACAACAAGTTGTCTTATTGTCCGATACATCTTTGATATATAGATATAATATACTTGTTTTACTTTTACTTTTTCTTTTTCTTTGTTTCTTGTTTTTTTTTTTTCGGTACTGTAAATGTAAATAAGGAATACGATAAAAGATAATCGTTTAAAAAACAAAAATTATCTCTTTTTTTTGTTGTTGTTTTTCTGTGAATTATTTTCGTCGATTAATTTTGCATATGTTATATTCTAATCAGTGAAAAACAAAATACAGTAAAATTTGAGTCGTCTTCCTTTTATGAAATACATGTTTCTGATATAATTCTATATTCTTTTTTTTTTTTTTTTTATAGTAAGAAAAAAGAATTATACAAAATAATACGTGTGAAAAAAGTAGTTTTTTTTACGTTTACTACTGTATATATGTATTACTGTATAATGAAGTTTTTTCGAATGAATAAAAAAAGAATAAGAGAAAGAGAACAAAAAAAAAGGTACCGAAACAAGGAGAAAAAAAAAAGTATATAATAAATATAAAAATGACAAAATAACAAAAAAATAAATAAATAAAAAGAAGTTTAATAAATAAAGAACAGTATTCTCGTCTTCCACGTTGATATTGTTTCGTGTGATATAAATAAACAAATTCATGTTATAATGAACTTAAAAACATGAAAGAACAACAACCATTGAAAAACATGTTGTGTTAAGTATTTTGAAAAAAAAATTCTGAAAAAAAAGAAAAAATAAAACGGCAGAACCTTCATTATCCAAGCTGTATAATTAAATTTACACATTAATAAATCTTTATTGTATGTACATACAACTTGTGAAATGTTAATGTATTGAAAAAAAATATATATGACATATAAAAAAGAAAAACGTATAGAAAAAAAGAAAAAAAAAAAGGTTAGGTTAAGGATTAGATCAAATACACATCTTTATATGCTTTCGATACTACTATCTTCTCATTTTGAAAATGACTATACATGTATATATATATATATATATATTATATAATTATATACGTAATTATGTGTATAGATTACATATATAATATAAATAATATGCGACATTTAATATGTTTAAATGGTGCATTAAGAAAGATTGGTTATTTATTATTCAATAGATATTGTGATATATTCTATTGTTATGTTTGATGTTCGAAGAGAGAGAGAGAGAGAGAGAAAGAGCGAGAAAGAGAGAAAAAGAGAGAGAGAGAGAGCTTGTTTGTTTTATCATTCGAAAATTTGTGTCTTTATATTTTGCTTCTGATAATAAAGGTTCTACTGTAGATACATTTAATGAAAATGCGTGCGAAATTGAAATGGGAAAAACATTATGAGAGAAGACTCTCAATGTCAAGGTCGCTTATATTTTTTTTCGTAATGATTTATTTCACAATTGTATATTAACACTAGATATACCACCATTTTTTCAGTATACCTGTTTCTACCACATTAGTCAAAATGACTGGTGTATAGAAAAAAAATACTTTTTGAGCTTTGCTTTCAGTCTTTATTTGTTCTTAAAAAATAAAAAAATAAAAATGTTTAACAATAATAATTTTAATAGATAAATAGAATTTATATAGATATTTTTAACATTAGATTTACGGATATTTTGTTCATTATTTTTTAATGATTTAATAACATTGTTTGAATGAAGGGTTGAGTAAAGGAATGGAACTAATATTTACGTATATTTCATTACGTAACTAAAAACAAATATAAGTTATTAAAAAATAGTATTTAAATTTTATAAATATATTAATAATCAAATGTTTAATGAGTCAAATTGGCTCAATTCGTAAATCTAGTGTTAAATAACAAAACAACGCTTAATTATTTACAGAAATCAAATGTTACATGAAGTAGAAATTTTGAATTCAAATGACTGGTCTGGTATATATCTAGTGTTAAAAAACTAAACATTAAATATTTTTAGAAGGAAAAATATTTCACGAAACAATAATATGTGCATGTAGAAATATGTTTTTTTTTTCGTTCCTTTTTTTGTTGTTGTTGTTGTTGTATGGTCTTCTGGAAGCTTTACATATGAACTACTTATAATTCAAAAAAAATATTTTTAATATTTTAAGAAAATTCACACAATTATTTTGTTAGATTCACACGTTTGCCACATTAATTATTTGTTCGTCACGTTTTAATGTTTGCGACCATTTTACTCTGAAAAAATTTTTTTGGAGTATATATATATATATATATTTTTTTTATTTTATTTTTTTTTTAAATACAAACGTATGCGCACATATGTAATGAAACAAATTTATAGAATTCATATTAATGATTATTTTCTCTTCACTTTCCATAAATTACGATTATCATATATTAGTTTATACGTTTATTATTTCTTATGTAATTAAGTGATGATTATATTATTATTATTATTATTATTATTATTATTATAATAACTATTATTACTACCATTATTATTAGTACTACGATTTCTATTAGTACCACACCACCACCGCTATTACTATTGCTAATTATTCACTTTTTTTGTCATCCTTTTTAAAAAGTTATAACTTTAATTATATATCTTCATTCTTTAATTTTATTCGTTAATATCATCGGGTATTAGTTAGAAGTTGACACCTATGTTTTAATTAAAAAAAAAAAAAAGGGTGCGTTAGATTTCAGAAAATTATATAGAGAATATATTATTATTATTATTATTATTATTATTATTATTATTATTATTATTATTATTATTATATAAAAAGAAAATAAAAAAAAGAAAATAAACGGGGAATAAAATTAATAAATAATTATATATATATATATATATACATATATCAAAACAAAAAAAAAGAAGAAAATATTAAAATCGTAATTAAAATAGTACGAACGTATAATAAATATAATATATTAGATTTAATGTTCTTATATATATTTGCTGTTAATAAGTAAAATTAAATATAATAATATTTGTTAACTCGATAAGAAAACGAAGAAGAAAAATGTCGTAATAGTTAAAAAAAAAATACCTTCGTTTTCATTTCGAGTAATGATCAATTAACAAATTTTAACAAATTTACGATCATTATGGGCATAGTGAGATAAGAAAATGACGTTCGTCGAAAAAAAAAAAGAGAGAGAGAGAGAGAGAGAGAGAGAAAATCTCGACGGGTATGTTGGTCTTTTTTTATCTTTAAAAAAAAATAAAAATAAGGAAGAAAAAGGCAAAGTGAACGCAAGTAGAATAATAAAAATAAAAAGAATCATTAGAATTATAAGATCTTTTTTTTCGACGACAAAATTTCAATATATAATTAAAAAAAAAGAGAGAACGAGTTATATATATATATAGTTATATATATAATATATAATATATAATATTTAGTTTTTATATATATATATATGATAAATATATAATATATAATAATATTATATAAATAATAATATTATATTTAATTTATTATTATTATATTATATTATTATATATATTATATATTTTTATTATATATTATATTATTATATTTATATTATTATATATTATAATATTATATTTTATTATATATATATATATAACTCAAAGGAAGCACGAATTCTTGATTATTAATAATAATAATAATAATAACAACAGTAACAATAACACCAACAACGTAAACGTTAACAATAGTACTTTTTACTTCTTGTAAATGGTTACATAAAAAAAAGAAAAACAAAAAATTGAAAAAAAAACACCAACTTACCAGATATACATATATATATATATAAAATTAAAGAAGAATGAAATGTTGCGAATGAAAGTAAGGGATAGAAAAGGAAAAGGGAGAGAAAAATTGATTATATTATATATTATATATTTGAAATATATTATTATTATTATTTTATGTTATATTATATCATATTGTACGTCCTTGCGCCCATCCTGTTACGGAGTTTCGGGCGCATCTTTATATGAACAATAAAAATAGAAAAAAAAAGGATACACCCTTTAACGCATACACACACATATACATTACACCGTTATACCATTGTGTAACAATAAAAAAAAAAAAAAACATAAAAGTATGTTGCACGTTTGTGCACTATTGCCAGTCGAACGTTCGTATCTTTGATGTATGTACGTATGTACCTATACCTTTTGGTGCCTGGTTGGCGATAAGAGCGATTACGATTTTTATTATTATTATTATTAATTATTAATTATTATTATTATTATTATTATTATTATTATTATATTAATATTATTTTTGTTTTTATTTAGTTGTAGTTTCTTTGTAACTTTTTGTGATATACATTGCAATAGTCTATCCGAACGTTTCTCTTTCTTGACACAACAAACATTATCCTTGATCAGCAAATTAATTTTTGATAATTGGTACGAATGAGAGAGAGAGAAAGAGAGAGAGAGAAAGGGAGAACAAAATGATTTGCGCGCGTTTGAATGTTATATTATCAATAATACAACAAATACATGTTAATAAATTGAAATAAAGGGAAAAAGAATAATCAAATTTCACGAATTTTTGTTTATACAGGTTCGAGGGGGGGGGTAAAAAAGAGATTTCCAAAAAATAAATTACGTCATTCGAAGATTAATTTGGAAATTGGTAATAAATTATGAAAATAGTATTTTGGTCCTTTTTTCTCATTCGTACAGATCAACTTCCAAATTTACCGAGCGACATCACCTTCGAGATTTGCACCTCATCGTCGTCCTCCTCGTCACCACCGCCAATTGCAGCAGCCCCTCAGACGACTACCACGACGACGATGACGATGACGACGACGACGAGGTCGGAAGATGAAAATGTTTCCGAATCGACGACGGGTGCTTTCATCAAGTCTGAAAGAGTTGTCAGCGGGGTTCATTTTCTCGACGATCGTGAAGAAGAAAGAGGGGAATTGTTATTACCAAAATCAGAATCGGTTGACAGCGAACCGGAAGTTAGAAAACAGGTTGGTTCATTTGCCATATTGTATTTATATTTTGTAGATAATTTTTAGATCAATTTTATATACTTGTGAGGGGTGGGAGGGTTCAAGGAACACTACTATTGAAAAAAAAAAAAAATATGATTTAAATGAAAATAACAGCGCTCGCGTGAATGTGTTGGTTTGTGTATGTGTTGGTTTGAATGAAATATCGTATGTGAGAATGAAGAATGAAAGGATGAGAGAAAGACAGAGAGAAAGAGCGAAAAAAAAACCAAATAAACGTTATTTTACAAGCTGCTGGAATACCTCATTCAAAACGACGGTTCCGTAGTCTGCAAGTGGTGCGGCGAGGTGCTACCGTCTCGAACCCGTTGGTACAGGCATAAGTACAAGCTACACGTCTCCACCCAGGTCACTCAACCAGCACCGCTGTTTAAATGCCACAGCTGTAATGCCTACTTCAAATCGCGGAAGGGTTACATTGGTCATCTGAGTGCGAGACATTCCGATAACGAGAACGACGAAAACAGAGAGGAACCGAGCAACAAGAAGACCAGGAAAACGACAGATGTAAGTTTTATTATTTGATTTTTATCGTTAGATCTAATTTTAAATCATTTTTGAAAGTTGAATAAAATAAAATCGAATAATTTTCTAATATAAATGATTGTAATGGTAAATAAATCATTCATTTTTTGTTAACACTAGAACTACTGACAGTTGAGACGTAGCTATCTCTACCAAAACCAGTCAAAATAACTGGTCTTTAAAAAAGATATAAAAGTAGAATATTTTTATATTTATTGACTTATTATTATTTTACAAAAGGAACTCCATGTTCTGAGATCTTCAAAACTATATAATAACAATTATAATAATAACAATAAGTACAGTTAACCCTCCTATAATACGGTAGATAGGTTCATAGAAATGCGGTGTTGTGACGGCACAAACCTAACAAAAAGGGGGTTAGAAATACTTTCCGCAACACTGTATCTTTAAAACGGCAAGCCGTTTACAAAGGTTACGTTGTACGAAGGTTTTTTTGAAAGGAAACCGTGTTATAGAATGCCATGTTATAGAAGAGTTCCAGCAATTTATGAATCGTGTTATAAAATACCATGTTGTAGGAGGACTATCTGTACAATAATAAAGAATATTTAGTATCAAAATATTCTTGATACCAAATCAAATTAAAGACCAACTAAAAAATGAGTCAAAATGACTGGTGTGGTAGTTCTAGTGTTAATTTAGTCTAATGTTATAATTACCAACATGTATTATTTAGTTTTTAATAGAATGGAGTTATTTTGTAAAATATTTTCTGTTCTTTTTAGCAGATCGGTAAAGGTCCAGATTGGGAACAACAAAGAGAGAAGGAAGAAAAACTGGTAGCCGACATAATAGATCGTGTAAAACGAGAATGCGAAGCTCAAGGTGAAACAGTGACGAGGAGAGGCTATTCAAGAAGATCTACGGTCATGAACAGCTAAGGCCAACCCCTTTCGTCCACTGATAATCTTCTTCCTGTGATTCGGTTTGAAAGACCTCCATGTTGTATAAAGAATATCGAGGCATCCTATTTGATCGAGCTTCTTCCTCGTTCAGCTCATCTCGATAGATAGACACAAATATATATATACACATTACACATTTAAAAAACAAGAAAGACACATACACACACGTACCAAAGATATTCGATTAGTTAGAGAAACTCGTTTTAACTCTGATTAAATCGAATAAGATTATTATTTTTTGTCGATTTTTCTCGAAAGTATCCTCGAAAGATAAAAAAGAGGATTTTTGTTCTCTCGTTAATCAATTCGTATTGCCACAATCAACTTTAGCAATCAACGAGCAATGATTTTCTCTGTAAATAGGAAAGAGAGACGTTGTGCGGACGATGTTTTTAAATAATTGAGTTTATTACTTGGGCGCCATGGATTCGATACGATTCACAAAATGCGCTGCAAAAAAAAAACAAAAAAAAAGAAAATGGAGGTAAAATATAATTAAAATAATGAGCAAAGAGAACAAATCTAAACGAATGATAATGAGAAAGAGAAACATTTAGTGCCAAATATATGTATCTTCCTGGACGTAAAACGCGTCGTCTAATTTCGAAACAAAAACCGTTCTTATAATTACGATTATTATTATAATAATTATAAATTAATTTTTTTTTTAGCGTTATTATTATCGTTAAACAAATAAATAGCCTCTTTATTATGGGGCTGTGGCCAAAAAGAGAAAACATATTAAATACGCGAGGTTGCGTTTGGTTTTCTTTTTCACTGTGTCTCGATCGATACGTATCCTAGTTAAAAAAGAAACAAAAAAGAGAAAAATCCGTATGAAACGATGTAAATAGGATGTTAAATAGTCAGAAATGTAAAACAAACAAACAAACAAACAAAATGATTATGATGATAATGATGATGTCTCTTTTCCTAATACGGAGAGACTACTCTACGGTCATATTTCACTGTGCGATCTACGTATTTTAAAAACAAACAAACAAAATCGAGAAATACGACAGACTCGTATGTATGTATATGTAAAAAATACACGTATATGTGTGTATATACGAGAGATACGCGACGCTACCTGAAAAAAATTAACAAGAAAAATAAAACAAACCGTTTAATCTTAATTATATTTGCTCAATTAGGACGAAAACGTGATGCGTAAATATATATATATATATGTAATATGTATGTATGTATGTATATATTTATGTATCAAGGCCGATCGTTCCTCTCGCGCTCCGTCTGCACATTTTTTCCTCGCACTATAATTACGACATGATATCTCTCTTTGTCTAATTATAATTATATAATGAAACCGTATCCGCACGTCATATTCGAGTATACTATAATACAAATAATAATAATAATAATAATAATAATAGTAATAATAATAATAATAATAAAATCGTAAAGTTTCATGATCGAGTACAAAGTACGGTACATTTTTCTCTTTGCACGGGAGCATTTATGGATCTCAGTCACACGTTAAAGTTAAATAAGAACATTTTTTAATCCATTACCAGGATTGTCAGTTCGTAGTAAATATTTGTATTTAAATCAGGGATAAAACAATTGTTAATAATTATTCTATTTCTTATTTCATTGAATATTTTTTTTGTGTTCTAATCAAGGCCTAAAATGAGCGTTGAACAATACGTCAAAACCAAATACAATCTACGAACTAATTTAATTATCGTTAGTTATTATATTAATTTATTTATTAATTAACTTACTCTTCCTTCTTAATTATTTACTTACTGACTTACTGACAGTCTGGATGGAACGATCGGATCTCGCGAATAGTTTCGCTAGAATGATTGATAGGTATAGTTAGTTAGATATATACCCGTGGATACGCGAATGTATGAATTAAATTGAAGGAAAGTAAAGATAGAAGAATAGATGAGAAAGAAGAAGAAGAAGAAAAAGAAAAGTAGAATACGTGATATAAATTATTTAAATAATCACGTAAAATGACAGATTTTAAAAGTGTCCTTAGTAGCACAAAATATTGAATACATGTGTATTTAATATTAAAAAGAGATTCAATGTCTTTTTAATATTAAATACACATGTATTCAATATTTTTCAATACTTTGTGCTACTAGGGGTGTTTCAATGAAATTGAAAGAGAAATGGAAGAAAGAAGAAAAAAAGAAAGAAAGAAAAAAAGAAAGCAAAAATTTTTCCTATATATTTCCGGGAAAGTCTGTCCATTTTTTGAACGTTCTCGAAAGTATTTTAATGTTTACTACTAAATACTACTACTACTATTACTAATACTTACTAATACTATTACTACTACTACTACTATTACTACTATTACCATTACTATTACTAATTATTATTAATACTACCGTGCGCGTTTATTCGATGCAACGAGAGATGATAAATTGAGTTTTAAAAAAAGGTGTATACAATTTTTCGAATTCTTCCGTGCGCATAAATGCGTCCGAACTAGATGATAAGTTTGGTGCTAATATGTCGAACGCGGTAGTTAACTTCTTTCCGTTACACATCCCAACGTAATTATGCATATTTTCTATATCAATGCATCGGCTTCAAATATTTTAAAACAGAGACAGAGAACGAAAAAGGACAATGAAAATGAAAATGAAAAGAAAAATCAACATGGCTACGAAACTTACGAAATTGAATCTCGCGCGCAATCGTACTGCGCATCAATGGCGTCTCACGCGTAAAAGCCGAGGATGTGTAACAACATCGTTTCACCCTTCTTCCTAACTATCGATAATAAGATACACGGTCGTCTTTCATCCTCCTCCCTCGTTAATTTTATACTCATCTGATTTGATGAACTTAATGATGACGGTCGTTTCGCTCGTATTAAAAATCATATCAAAGACGCGCGAACATTCAAGTTTTCTTCGTTCAAAAATGAAACAAAAATACGATCTCAAGAAGAACGAAAGAAAAAAAAAGAGAAAAAGAGAGAGAGAGAGAGAGAGAGAAAGAGAGAAAGAAAGTAAAGCGGGACGACAATTCAAACTAAAACGAAGACAAATACGCGCTGGTCGCGTTGTTAATTAAAAATTAAAATTAAAAAAAAAAAAAAAAAAGAGCAATCAAAACAAAATCTTCGTACGATCTTGAAATCGTCCCTCTTGATCGCATACAAGCTCGTAATAAAAAAAAAAAAAAATTAATAAATGCTCTTCCGATAGAAAGGCAAACTTTGCCAGCTCGTCCCCTCCCACTATTAACCCATCACCCCCCTACCACTTTTCGTGCCAATAGATTCAATTTAATTTTTCCGAAAAGACTCGGAAGGCTCTTTTCCCTCCGTACAAAATGAAATGATCAATATATCGTCCACGAGAGAAGCGTAAATACGATTCTTCCTCAGGGAGACGTTCCTCCGTTTGATAAATCGTCTTCCGAATAATTAGATTATTCTGTAAATATACGCGAAAAAAAAAAGAAGAAAGAAAGAAAGAGATAGAAAGAAAGAAAGCCATGAGTGTAAATTCATTGCACCTGGATAAAATATTTTATCGAATCGTCTTCCTTCGAATAATCATCATTCTCTAGTGTCCAATCAAAACCCATCCAACCCTCACCAACAACCCCATCACATTCACAAAACGCTTCCTCGTTCTTCAGAAATCACATATAGAGAAACGATGAGAAAATAGTTTATACAAATATTTCGCGCTCTAACTTATTTCATTCGTCGACCGATACGACAAAAGAAGAAGAAGAAGAAGAAGAAGAAAAAAAAAATATCGTCCGTTTATAGATCGTTCCAAAAAAAAAAAAAAAAAAGGAATTCTCTTAAGGGAGGAAGAGGAAAAACTGCCTCGCACGACGTATTTCAATCTTCCGTAAATGAATCTTAAGTGTTATTAATCGTAAAAATGTAAGGCTGATCCTCTCCTAAACGGAGTATCGACGATTTGAGATGTGAGAGTATTTCAAAGGAGATAAATTATTTATTTGTTTACGATAAAACGAGAAAGAAAAGAGAAAGAGGGAGAGAATGAGTGTGAGAAAGAGAGAGAGAGAGAGAGCGAGAGAGCGAGAGAGCGAGAGAGCGAGAGAGAGAGAGAGAGAAAGTGAAATAAAAAAAAAACAACAGAAAAGTAAGTTAAAACTTGCTTTTCAATTATCAATGGATTTTTACACCGAACTTGAAATAAATTATCGGTGAAAAATCCATTAGATGACCATGAAAAGTGTCATCAAAAGCGCACGAGAGCTTCGTCAGCGAGTATCCAAGTATTTGTTGAAAATACACGAATATATCTGTGAGATATTATCAACAAAATAATAAATGATATTATAAAAAGAAGATTCAAGATATTTAAAATAAACTCTGAGTAATGATAGGTCTCAGAGAAAACAAAAAAAAATAAATATTTTTTATCAAAGCAACATCTCACATGTTCTCTGACGTTTCTTTTACATGTTGTACAATCAGAAAGTTCTTAAATAACAATTATTATGTGAAATGAATTTATTAACATGGAAGAAACATTAGGGATTTCGTTGACGTTTATGACAGTATTTTCAATTTTGAATAGAATTGAAAAATAAAAATCATTTAATTGTAATAAATGCTATCATCTAAGGTAATCATGGTCGTATAACATTTGAACAAAGTTTCAAAAAATATTAGGTCTACCGGAAACTTCTGTCTTTTGAAACAAACATCAGTTGAATTTTTCGTCACTAAGGGGTAAGGCCCCATTTATTAAAATGGAATATACAAATTGCCACCATGTTGGTAAGAATTCAAAAGTAATTCAATTAATTAATTGTTCAAATKAGGAATAATTTATTATTTTATTTTATTTAAAAAATGAAAGGAATAATTTATTATTTTATTTTATTTTAAAAATGGTTGAGTAATAAAAATGTTTCTTTTTCGTGAGACTCTCTTTAATCGTTCATTTGAGAGTTTATTATTAATGTTATGAATCGTTCTTTTAAAACGATATCTCACGGATAAATCGACAAATGTATTTTTTCTTCTCTCTCTTGAATATTCGCCGTACGATGTGATATATAAATATTGCGACAGACAAACGTAATAATTATTATCAATTGCGCTGATCATTAGCGGTAACACAAGAAAAACGTTACGACTAACGAATGCGAGCGTATTGTGCATTAATGTGTCGGGAAAGAAATAAAATCAAAATGAACTGATCGATTTAACTTGATATAATTAATTCTATATCCTAAAATAAACCCCATTCTAAAAAAAAAAAAAATAATCATCACAATCGTTGATCCTGTTCTAGTAAAAAAAAAAAAAAATAAAATAAATTACAAGTAAACAAAAGCATCAGGTTTCATTAATAAATCATCAAATTAACAATTAAAAAAAAAAGAAATAATCGATTGAAGTTGTTCGAGAGACTTTTTTTTTTGCAAGCCGCACCCTCTAAATTTACGTAAGCCCTAAAAAAGAATGAAATATTAAATTGAGAAGGTGTTGTGTGTGTTAAAATCGATTTGTAGTAAAGTTCTTGTTCACGTGACAATGATGTCATAATTAAAGAAAATTTCATTGAAAAGTAAACGTCGATAGATGTCTACTTAATTTAAATGAAATTCGAATCGCGACGAAACCTTGAAAGGGTTGTTGCATTCAGGGTGAATACCCAAAAGGATATCGAATAACGCGGATAGTTGTATGTTCTACCAAAAGAGGGACAGTGTAGCGCAGAAGGAAGAAAAGAAAGATAATAGTATCCCCCTCTATAACGATTGCGTCGAATTGGTTCTGTTTACGAGCGTGAGCAGGACGTGAGCAGTGTTGCCTTCTAGTGCGGTATTGTCGAGAAGTATTCGAAAGCAGCAAAATTATACGTCAAAGATTGGATTGATCGATCTTTAGAAACCCATCAAGTTTCTTACAGTTTTAACGGTGACATTTTTCAATCCGGTTTTATCGTAATGCAACCTTGAATTATCGTGCGTAACTTGGCGTGAAGTGGACAAGGAGTATAAAAATAAAACGAAACGTTTAAAAAATAGACGACTTAGGCGTCGTTCAAATTGTTTCGCTATGGTGTTCAGTTTTCCTTTTTTCTTCGAACCAATTTGTATTGCTCTGTTGATGGGCGTGATCGATGCATCAACTTTGCAGACGAAGGATCCTCTTGCTCATCATGGTAGATGTGAACCGATTACAATTAATCTTTGTATGAATATACCATACAACGAGACCATTATGCCAAATTTGATGAACCATCAGAAACAAGAAGAGGCTGGTTACGAGGTCCATCAATTTGCTCCTCTCGTCAAAGTCAAATGCAGTCCCGATTTACGTTTTTTTCTATGCTCTGTTTATGCACCAGTTTGCACCATCATCGAAAAGGCGATACCACCTTGTAGATCACTTTGTGAAAGTGCTCGTGCCGGTTGTGAAGATTTGATGAACAGTTTTGGTTTCAATTGGCCGGATAACCTTGATTGTTCCAAATTACCAGAAAATGGAAAAGAACTTTGTGTTGGTACTAATGAAACAGCACCAGTGGAACCATCGGCACCTGCATATTCTCCACCTCGTATGCCAGTTGCTGAGTTTCAGCCACCTTGGAACGGTCCTGGAACTACTTCTTACAATAGTAATGGATTTGCACTAGGTGCCAGAGACTTTGGTTTTGTTTGTCCCGTGCAATTTAAAGTCCCACATAGTTTGGGTTATTCTCTCAAAGTTGGGAATAAAATAGAACCCAATTGTGGTGCACCTTGTGATGGTATGTTCTTCACCGAGAGAGAACGTAATTTCTCCAGAGTTTGGGTTGGTACTTGGGCATCTCTCTGTGCAGCATCCTGTTTTTTTACATTCTTGACATTTCTTATTGACACCGACAGATTTAGGTATAGATAAACTTATTACTCTTGGTAGAAAATTAATTACATTCTTCTTAATTAATAAAACGGAGTCATTCTAACTGCTTTTTAATTGCAGGTATCCTGAGAGACCTATTATTTTTTTATCGGTATGCTATCTGATGGTAGCATTGACATATGTGATAGGTTGGGCTGCTGGTAATTCTATTGCATGTAGAGAGCCTTTTCCTCCGCCTCTTGACATGCGTATTCAAATGGTATCTACAATAACTCAAGGAACCAAACATGAACTGTGTACCGTGCTTTTTATGGTGCTTTATTTTTTTGGTATGGCATCTAGTATATGGTGGGTTATACTCACATTGACGTGGTTCCTAGCAGCTGGTTTAAAATGGGGACACGAAGCTATAGAAGCTCACTCACAATATTTTCATTTAGCTGCTTGGGCAGCACCGGCAATAAAAACTGTAACAGTTCTTGCAATGGGTAAAGTAGAAGGTACATATACATCTTTTAAATATGAACATACAATGACTTCTGTTTTGTTTACGAATTTGTAAAATTATTTTGATCATTTTTCAGGTGATATATTATCCGGTGTTTGCTACGTGGGTTTGTGGAATGTCGATGCATTAAGAGGATTTGTTTTAGCACCTCTTTGTGTTTATTTAGTTCTTGGAACAGCCTTCCTTTTCGCCGGATTTGTTTCTCTCTTTCGCATACGCACCGTTATGAAACATGATGGTACAAAGACAGACAAGTTAGAAAAGTTAATGATCCGTATCGGTATTTTTTCCGTATTATATACCGTTCCAGCACTCATAGTGATATCTTGTCTTTTCTACGAACAAGCGTATTTCGATCAATGGATGTTAACTTGGAACATGGAAATGTGTTCGCGACCTGGTTTACAATCGCTTTACTCAATGCCTTGTCCTATAGGAGATCGTACTCGTGACTTCGGTCGACGACCAGATTTCGAAGTATTTATGATTAAATATTTGATGGCAATGATAGTTGGTATTACTAGTAGCTTCTGGGTATGGTCTAGTAAAACGTTAAGTAGTTGGAGACAATTCTTTAATCATCTGCAAGGTCGTCGTACAGAAGCGTACGTGTGAAATTAATTAATCGTGTTTAAGATATTATAAAAAGGAAGAATGACTTTTGTCAATGTTATTTGCTGTCATTGACAAATTATAATGCTTAGGAACAGAAGTAAACAAAAAAAAATCCGGTGACAGTTAACTCAAATGATCTCGATTGTTTCGTTTTAGTGCATTTTATGCAATGAAAAAATAACTTCCAAAAAGGGTTTTTAAATATTATTTTCGTTTTAGAATACAAATTTATTTTTTCATTGATGAATAATGTATTAAATATGCTTATCGTATTGATTACTTCCAAAGAAAAAAAAAAAAAAACAAGAAGAAGAAGAAGTCAAAGCACGCTTAAAAATTTGTCAATGTGTTTTAAGGCTGTCACCCTTTGTAGAATTTTAAAGACATTTTTAGAATTTGTAATGTGCCAAACGAGTGTTATATTTTTATAAACGATGCACGTCCTCTGAATGTCCATAAGCCTTTTTATCTATTTTAACAGCAATTTGCATGACACGTGTGTGTAAGATATAATGACTGATAGTTTATCAATTTGAAAGTATTATTACACGATGTCTGCTTTTTAAACTCTTTTTAGATATATTATATTAAGAAAACATTTGATAAAGGCAGTTCTTCTTTTTATACTGTTCAACTTTGTAATTAAAATGTATACAACCAATTTTTTGATTTAATCTTTTCAGAATAGATTATCTATTTTAATCTAAGAGCTGGATATTTATGAAAATAATTCAAATATTATTCTAAATACTATTTGGAATAATAGATTTCTTTTCAAATCTATCAAAATTTGATTTATCAAAATCAAATGCATGATAATATTTCAATTTTTTTATTTTACTTATAATACAAAAAATTAAATATTATTATTTATACTATATCTTACGATAATCTAGATTTACATTTTGATTAGAAAACTTATGAAAATTTAAATATTTTTTTATAAGATTCAAATCAACATGTGGTCAAAATCCTGAAAAGATTAAACTAATTGTAAGTTAAAGAATTATTTAACCCATTTACATCCGTAAAACAAAATATTTCGTTAACCCGAACATTCAAACAACTGTGAGTTACAATTCTTATAATTAGATTTTTAACGAGCGTTGCGTATTTAGTGTTACACTGAAAATGGGTTAACATAAATCAATTATTGTATCCTCTGTTTCATTTTAATTAAGAAAGAACTGACACAGTACATAACACGCTTAATGAAGGAACGTATTTCTTTGAATTCATTAAGAAACTGCCTAGAAATAATAATACTCAGAAAAAGACTTCAAGGACTGTTCAATTTTGTTTAGATTTTATATTTTTATTTTTTTTTTTTAATACATATATATATATATATGTGAAAATGGCAATCTTAATAATCAGGTACGAATTATATCGTGATCAAAAATAATCCTATGCGTGGCTCGAATTAAGATGTTTACTTATAGAATTAATTGTAAATAGTTAAAGCTACTTTACTTTTTAAATCATGTATATGTATCGTAGTATGTATAATTTTAAAGAATTGTGTACATATATGTATACACATGCAAACTAGGCACACGCCAATTTTCTTGGCACTCTTTAATGTTTCCTATATACTAAAATCAAATAGCGGTGATAAGCTTAAAAAAAAAAGAAAAAAAAAAGAAAAAAAAAGAAAAGAAAATACCGCACAAATTGATCAAATATTTGAATTTTTTAATTTTTTTTTTTTATTTTTTTCCATGAAACATTATTATTGATTTATCGATTTTATTTTTCTTTTTTAACGATATATTTTATTGAAGAGTTTTTTTTTTTTTTTTTTTTAGAAAAAATTATTTATTAATCAAATGTTTTATAAATATTATTATTTTCTTATGTGTATCATAAAGTATATAAAAAAAATATACTTTCGTAATAAAATGAATTTAACTTGATATCAAAATTATTCTTGATAATCGAGTTCAATCACAATGTTCCAAGACTATTAACAATTCGTCCATTAATTAAAAAAGCTGCCGAATTTTTCACTTATGTACGTTACGCAAATTTGATTCTCACACTAATAATATGTATGACTTGCAACATAAAAAAAAAAAAAAAGAGAGAGAGAGAGCGAGTGATAGAGAGAGAGAGAGAGAGAGAATCACATGTGTTTACTTGCTAATAGAATATTAAGTAAATTGTACGTAAAATAAAGCGTAACGTGCAGGATTATTATACTGCTAAATAAATATATTATAAGTATATTAAAATATAGTAATGAACGAGATGAATGTATGCAAGTAATTATATATATACATATATATATATATATATATATATATATATTTAATATAAAATCAATTTTTATACGGATACAAAAATTTATAACATCCATTTACACTTGAGAAGAATATGTGCGATATTTATTCGCAGAGGTACAAAAACTTTATTTCGTTCCTATTCGAACGAAAATCACATGGCATTGCATGCATGTTATACAATACTCATGGAAGTTTTAATTTTATATGTCCAAAACTTAATAAAGCCGTCGATACTTATGTATAAACATCGTAGAGAACTATTATTATTTCTTTAAATTTTAAACGATACTTTCTATTCTATTTATTTTGGCTTTGGTGTTTTCATAATACCCTTTTTTCGTAAGTATAAAACAAGCCATGGTGCTACACCGCAAGTAATCGATAATCTTATTGGCGCAAACATTTTATGAATACCATATGCCAATAAAAATCCGGACGAATTATTCATAATTTGTATTATTTTGTCGTTTTCGGTATTAATGACTTTTTCCAAATAAGGCATTAGATCTATTCCACTAAAAATAAAGGGGTAACAGTTAATAGTTATAACTTTGAATATTTTTCAAACGATCAGACAACACATTTTCTATATTAAAAATGCGATATCTAATGAATATTCATTATATATGTGTTGTATACATTAATTCAACAAACCTAACAACAGCGGTATAAAAGAATCCAAGTGAAGCTAATGAAATGGCTATGTGAAATATTACAATAACTTTTCCATAATCCTTTACGATCATTTTGAATCTTTCTTTTCTACTCTGTACTATTTTCTTTTTAATTTCATTCTCCGTATTTGTAGTATTATTCGTTGTTGTCGGTCTATTCGTCGAGTATCTCATATGATTTATATAAATCGGATGTAATAATTTATTACCAAGCATACTCATCAAAATGGCTTCGTTCGTGATACCTGAATAACAAATTTTAACATACTATTTGTCTAGTTTAAAATGAGATTACAACAATTTCTACAAAACAACGATTACATTGAAAATTAATGTGCATACAACTTAATATTCCTTTGCACTCTACGAATAGATTTTTCTTATATTAAAAGAAAGTTAAAATAAATTGTACTATTTTTAAAATATCTTGATCTTTCAAGTTATAAAAATATATATGTAAGTAAAAAAAATAAAAATAAATTCATGATAAAATATGAATTTCAAATAAATTTAGTTATAAAATAAGTTACATCTTTATCACATATCAAATAATGCATTGAATATATGTAAAATTATGTTAGCAATTTCTCTAACCATTTTTAACTGGATTAGAAAATAAGATATTAGTACTGGATAACTTGTAATTTGATTTTTGCATATCTTCAGCAATGTATTTGCTATCTTTAGCCCATTGTCCACCTGGCATATTGAAATGAGTTGATTTACCAGTTGAACAGAAAGGTTTAGGTACATTACTTTGCATGCTACCATTTAAACTGACTGTGCCTGTACAATCGTACGAATCAACGTGCATGTTTTCACGAACAATAGTCAAATTTTGTTTTCCATTGAACGTTTCATTCTTGCCGTTAAAAGACGAGAACTTTAATGAATTGTTTGCGGTGACTTTGTTAGCACCATAAATCAAAATAGGACTTGCAATGTCCCTTGCTCGTTCTGGAGTAAATCGGCCAGTCTCGTTTGCAAATATTTCCGAAACGTTATTTGGAAGTGGTATAGTTGGTGCATCAGGATAACGACGTATATTAGTTACGTGTAAAATCTTCATTTGAGTTTTTGATGGTACCATTTCACGTTTCCATTGAAATGTTGTTTTCATAGGATAACTTGTTATACCAACTGTACACACACATATATATTCGAAATAATTATTATATAATGATAAACAGAGTAATTACGTACAGGTTGTACCTAGTAACCGAGCCGGTTTTCTTTTACTGATAGAAATTGTTGAGAAAAATGTTATGGTGTACATCAAGTTGCACGAGTTTTTGTATAAGAACATCAATGCAGTTGCTAGAAATTTTTTCTTATTCCGCAAATGGAACGCGTTACAATCCGGCACATTTACTAAGTACACTCTGTATATATATATATATATATATATATGTTTAAAATTTTGAAATAAATTTTATATTAACAACGTACTTGGTTGCAAGTTGCGATTAAACATTGTTAACAAGTCAGGACAACGATTTATTCTTGATAACGCCATTGTGATAAAAGTAATGTGATATTCTTTTAACAGATTTAAATTTCTATTTCTTCTTCTGACTTATCCTTCTACCGGTCATCTATATGAAATATGGCGAATAATTATTTATGCAAAAGAAATAAAGAAGGGGAAAAATGAATATATTAATAGACAGGTTTTGCAAATTGCATTCTCATGTGTCATGTGATCTACAAGTTTGTAGGATAAAACAATTGACATGAGAAAAAAGTGATTTAAAAAAGAAAGAACATAAAAATAGAATTAACAATTAAATTACTGAGAAATTAAATAATTATATCATTGAAATAGATTTCTTTTGATTAAATGATGACATTTTAATCATAACCATTTAAATAAATATAACCTACAATTTGGATATAGTTTGATATTACACTAAACTTATAACTAAGAAGTAATTATTATTAGATGATATCTGAAATCAAAAATAAATTAATAATGAATGATACAAATAATTGATTTTTTATATTCTTATTTGTGTTACGTTCACATATACTGTACTAATATGTCATGTGTCACTCTCGTGACGTAACAACACTGCGGTAAAATGGAAATAATTTGAATAAAGAGAAAAAGTAACATGCGTACTACGATTGTTTTTTTTTTTTTTTAATTAGATGAATGTCTATTGAATTTTAAACAATTAATCATTGTTTAATTATTAACACTTATTATAGAATATTAAAAGGAAACAGTAACGTATACTAAAAGTATGTGATATTTAAAACGAATATTTACATCGAAATTTCACGCTATCTTGTGTTATTTTAAAGTAATTATTCAACGAATTCGTCGATCATGTAGAATTCTCACATATTTATCAAATATTTTGAAATTAAGAGAATTTTATTTTCTCTATATAAAAGTAGATTTGTTATATTACATATGTAAAGAGAACACACACACAAACGTTATTTTAATTAATTTTTTATTTCTAATTTGAACTTTTAACATTGTTATTGTTATCAATTATTTTAAGATAAAAGAACATTCAGGGCTGTATTTATAAGGTTCTCTTATATTCTCTTCTTTTATTAAGAATAATTTACGAATGAAATAATTGTAAACGAGTTTAAATATCAATTTGTATGATAATTTATGTAAACTTATTACTGCTTTTGATAATAAATATAATTTTTATTTAATATTTTTCTTATACGATAATCGATCTTTTTAAATTTGTTTAAAATTTTATTTTTTAATTATCTTTAAATATCTTATCTTTAAACATAGATAAATTAATACTTTCAAGTAAACATAAATAGCACAAAAGTAGAATAATAAGTAATATCACATATAACGATAAATTTGATATGATATTCGCGCATGATCTACCGGGGACTAGTGTAACGTCAGCATCTGTCTCCAGTTGTTACTTCCATATTAATCCGTGTTCTCTGGATCAGAACTGATTAGAACAAGTGAATTTTATTAGAATTTCCATATTTTTCTATTAATTATAAAATGGCACCGAGTAATATTCAACTTGTATCATCAATGGCGAAAACATTGTTGAGAAGTGAACAATACGCTTATTCTTTAAATATTTCTAGATCAAGGTAAAGTATTTGAAATTATTGCAACTATGTATGACCTTTTTAACCTTCATTCCAAATGAAAAAATTCATTTATATCTTTATTTGTCACAGAATTTTATCAACATTTTCATATCTTTTCTTATATATAGTTGCACTTTACAAAAAGATACTTTTGTTTCGTTAATTGTTTTATTGATAATTATTATATTTTAGGTCATGGTGGTCGCATGTTGAACTAGGACCTCCAGACGTTATTTTAGGTGTTACAGAAGCTTATAAAAAAGATCAAAATCCAAATAAAATTAATTTAGGTGTAGGAGCTTATAGAGACGATAATGGAAAACCTCATGTGCTTCCAAGTGTCCGTAAGGTATGTCATTTTTTATGTCAAAATAAACTTGAATAAACATATATATATGTCAAATTAAACTAATATGATTTTTCTAGGCAGAAGAAAACATTAGAGGGAAGAATTTAGATAAAGAATATTTCCCAATCTCAGGAAACCCAGACTTTTGTAAACACAGTATTACATTGGCATTAGGAGATAATAATGAAGTTTTAGCTCAAGAATCAGTACGTATATGAATACTCAATTTATCAATAATTTTCTATACTTTTCTAAACATATTCATTTGTTTTTAGAATGCAACGGTTCAAGGAATTTCTGGTACAGGTTCTCTGTGCATTGGAGCCAAATTCCTGGCTCAATTCTTCCCAGGTAACAGAGAAGTTCACGTTCCAACACCAACATGGGGAAATCATAACCCATTATTTAGACACGCTGGGTTGGCTGTAAAACAATATCGTTATTTTGATCCAAATACATCTGGATTAGATTTTCAAGGCATGATGGAGGATATATCTGTAAGTTGTTACATAAAATACTGCAATTGTAACATTGATTTTATTATTAATAATGATTTTATTAACAGAAAATCCCTGAGAAATCAATAATACTCTTACATGCCTGTGCTCATAATCCAACTGGTGTTGATCCTAAATTAGAACAATGGAGTGAATTGTCTGCACTAATAAAGAAAAGAAATCTCTTTCCATACTTTGATATGGCGTATCAAGGATTTGCTTCAGGTAAAGTATTTTAATAACAATGAAGTTTTGGTCATTGAATTGTTTATTAATATTCCTATTTTTATAGGTTCCACTGATAAAGATGCAGCAGCCGTTAGATTGTTCATCAAAGATAAACATAAGATTGCTTTAGCTCAATCCTATGCAAAAAATATGGGACTCTACGGTAATATACAAAAAATATAATTAAAAAATTAATAATATTAAGATATAATACATAAGATTTACAGTACTGTTTGTTAATAGGTGAACGTGTTGGAGCATTTTCATTAATTACATCCAGCAAACAAGAAGCTACTGCTGTTATGTCGCAGCTTAAAATTATAATCAGACCTATGTATTCCAATCCTCCTATTTCTGGAGCACGAATTGTTTCTGAAATATTAGGAAATCCTGAATTAAAAGAAGAATGGCTACGCGATGTTAAAGCAATGGCTGATCGTATTATTTCCGTGCGCACTAAATTACGAGGGAATTTAGAAAAGTTGGGAAGTTCGCGTAATTGGCAGCACATTACTGATCAGATTGGAATGTTCTGTTTTACAGGTCTTAAAGCTCCAGAGGTAAAATAATTCATTTTCTTACATTAATACAATGTGGTATACAATGTGTTTTATATGTTTTTTTTTTCAAATTTTAGGTTGCAAAACTTACATCACAGTATAGTGTATATCTTACTAAAGATGGAAGAATATCTATGGCAGGTGTATCAAGCAAAAATGTGGATTATCTTGCTAATGCTATTCACCAAGTAACCAAATAAATTAACATTTTATTCGATTTCAAGGAAACGAATCGAATTATCTTTTTCTCCCAAAGGATAAAGGGCATAGTTTATAAATTAATCAAAAAATTCCAATTAATTCAACGAAAGATATATATTTTTAGCTAATGCATTTAATTTACATCACTGCTGGCAGTGCAGTTTATAAAACAAGAAGGTTAATTATGCGTGATATTATGTAAAGATTTTTATAATTTAAAAAAAAGAAACATATTCATTTGACAACATTTATCTAGTATTAATGTTAATGGTTATTCAATAACTTTTAGCATAAACAGATAATGTACTTTAAATGAAATATTTTCCTCTTGTGAGAATGTGTGTTTTGCTTGATATCTGCCCTTTTTTTTTAACTTTGTATTATCAGGATTATTCTTTTCCTTTAAGTTAAACTGTATAAATCGCCATGAATTACTTTTTGTTTGTAAAGTATAAACAATAATATAACTTTTATATTAGCATATATATAAGCATTGTTATTTTGATGTTTTACATATCCTAATTATCAAATTTAATTACTTGCACTTATCAAATCTAAAAATTATTTGCAAATAGAAGATAACACATTACAGCACTATCTATAAATGAAATTGATATTATTACAATCCTTTATTTTTTTATAAATTTAATTTCAATTTAATAAATACTTTTATGTGTGTTCGGTTCTTTTTTTTAATTTAAAATATTATGATTTATAATATTTAACAAATTTATAGAATGTACCTTTTTATATTTACAAATTTAAAGTTCATCTAAATATGCGTTTTACGCGGTATATTCAAAAACGTCATAACTCAAAAGTATTATTTTTAGTATCACTAGAAATATAATTATGCACTATAGGTTAAATAATATAATAGAGATAAAATGATTAGTTACTGATAATTTTTATTTAAAATTTAAATGAGAATATTCTTGTACGTCTGCTATAGAATTATTCATTATTTTGACTATAGTGTGTGTCCTTCAGTTTTACAACAAATATGGCAGACTTTGATAATCTATCACGAATAGAAAAGTTAATAATTTATTATTTTCCATTAAATAAAATTACAATCATTGAACAGGGTAATTAATAATGATTAATTACAATTTTACGCATTGACAGTGTTAAATAGTTTTATTTAACAAATTGAATAACCTATAATGGTAAGATTGAAATTTTGATAAGATACAATTAATGTTTGTAATTTTGGGTGACACGTTTCAATCGTAAATAAATATGGCGCTTTTAAGCGTGTTAGATTTTTGTAGTATATTTGTGTTGTCAAACTAGCCTATTTTTATTAATATGTTATATGTTTCAGATAGAAAGGTTAAATAGATAGAAAGAAAGTAATAAACTATTTTATATAAAAATGGCTACATTAAATAATATATTAAAAGCTATAGATGCATTAAAGGTATTACAGGAAACCATGGTTTCATCTGATCCTGTAATAAGGTATGAATTAAAATTATTTACATTGTCAAATTTTTAATTAAAGTTCTTTTTGTCAAAATCTTTTATATATTTTTATTTGTAACAGAAAAGAGAAGATAACACATTGTACAGTAATTGCTGAAGGATTATGTTCAACAAATACTAAATTAGTATCTAAATATCCACAAATTTTTGGTTGTTCTATAAAATCATTATTGGCATTATGTGACGACGCAGAAGCTGATGTGAGAATGATTGCTGATGAATGTTTGAATAAAATTATAAGGGTATGATTATTTTAATATTCTTTATTTTATTTATCATGCGCAATTGATTATATTATTATATAACTATAATAAGTATAATATATATTATTTATCAGACTATGGCAGACAGTGATATTGTTAAAATTCAAATAGAATTATATAATGAAATCAAAAGTAATGGACCTGCTCGAACTTTGAGAGCTGCTCTTTGGAGATTCGGTTTACTCAGTCATATGATTCGTCCTACGAGAGGAAAAGCATACGTGTCTAATTTAATACCATGTATTATTGTCATAGCACATAGACCAGAAGAATCAGTAATAGATACACTTGCACAAGCATTAAAATTAATTCTAAAAACATTGGGGCCATTTATGACGGATAACGATGTTAAGGTAAAATTAATAATAATAATAATAATAATAATAGCAATGTAATATAATATTAATATATGTGAAGAAGTATATTATATTTTTGTAGACGTTGCTTAAAGCATTATTTCAAAATATATCATCAACTCAAGCTGCATTTCGTAGAGCTGCAGCAAATATGATTTTAACGACCTGCTTAAATTGTAGGAAACCTCAAGTTTTTTTATGTTACGTACTAAATTATTTATTAGGTAAGTTGAGATTATTTTATAATTGCTATATTTGCTAATTATATTTATATATTAATAATATATTATTTTTGCAGATGCTATTATACCAGTGAGTGATGACATAGATCACTTGAATACAGTTATTGGTGTTTTTGGATGTATAAAAGTAATTTTACCACATATGTCTACACCAACGGAATGTGAATCCACTGACAAACAACAATTGGACAATTTTTTACAAATTTATGAGTTATGCTTGTATTATACCAAGTGGCATTCAAATCATAATTTAATAAATGCTGCTTTGGAAACGTTGGCTCAACTTTTGCAATCTCCATCAAGTGCATTTAAATATTTATTGTTGTCTAAAGAAGGTATTACTCATAGTAGAATTGAGTTGAATCAAGAAACGGCCACGATATCTTTGGGTCAAATAAGTAATTCAACAGCTACAAGTATTTCTGGAGGCAATTCTGATTCCACATTGAATTTGCTTGAACCAGAAATGCCGCAATTGAATTCAAAGATAGGAAATTGGATTATAGATTCAGAAATGGTACTTCCATTGATACAAAAATCAGAAACGCGTGAAACATGTCCAAGTGATGCAACAGAAACAAAAAAACAAACGATGGAAAATTATAGTGAATTAAAAATAGAGACTTTAGAGGGTGAGAATAACTATACAAATGTAAATGTTTTTGGTATGAGTAACATTGAATATACATACAAATTTTCTAGTTTATATTTATTTTAGGAGATGGCATTGAGGAAGGAAGCGATGCTGAAAGTGAAATAGAACAAGTAGAAAATGTACCATATTCAAGTTTACAAAGTAATCATATGAAAGAGGATGAATATTTGGACGAAGCTTCGATATCTGTAGCATCTCCACAAAAATTGCCAATGGAATTGCCATTGCAAGAAATCAATATTGGAAGTTATACAGATTCTGATATGTCCGTCAAATTTTGTTGTCGTTATTTAGTTTCATCATTTTTATTAACAGGCAGTGCTGGTCACTTAATGCCTGATAAATTATTTCGTGTCAGTGTTAAATCTCTTGCTTTAACATGCGTAGCCAACATTTTAAAACTTTATCCAGATTTAATTCTAATGACAGTTGCCAAAGATTCTACTCATTCGGATAAGCAAATGATTAAAGATATTTTATTATTTGCAAATCATTCGGATCCACAGATCAGAGCCAATGTATCGATTCTTATTGGATTATTTTTGAAAACGGTTTTTACGCAATATGGCGGATCTTTTAAGAATTTTCAGTCTGAAAATTTAAATAGTAAAACAAACGAAAGTTCATTGTTGGAAAATATGATAAAATTACTTATAAAGGTAAGATATTGTTTACAATCAAATGTATTATAATTAATCAAAATAAATTAAAATGAGACATTTTCTTTTTAAAGGGTTTAGAGGATGATTCTGCTACAACATGTCGTCAAACGTTAACAGCATTAAATTTATGCTTACCAGAAATCCTAAATTCTGTAGATAGTCAATATGGAATAACTATTTTATTTGAATTACCCAAGCTTATTAAAAATCCATATTTTCTTGTCAAAGTTAAATTAGCAGATTTGCTAAGTAATTTATCATACGTCACTATAGAACACATAACAGGTGATGCATTATTTCAACAACATTTTATCGATGTTATAATAATTTTATTAGGAGATCAGGATAAAAGAGTTAGACATGCAGCATCTGAAGCAATTGTTAAGTAAGTTTCAATGTTATTAATTATCTTCATATTACTTGAATTTGTTTATTTTCTTAAGATTAAATTTATTCACATGTTTATTTTCAGAAGTATTCCATATTTATATTTTCAACATCCTCAGGAAAGTGCTGCTGTAAAAAAAGCAGCTGAATATACAGAAAAGTATTTATCAACTGTAATGTCAAATAATTTAAGGATACCTTCGTATTATGATAGACACAAAATATGTATAAATAATACAGTCAAGCCGTTTACATCTTTAAACGATCATAGTGATAAGAAATATCACGTAAATATAGAGGATTCCTTATCTCGTATTGTTAGCATCTTAACTGAAATACTCATGGTTAATTCATCTAAGTACATGATATATGGTTGTTGTGAAGCTCTTGCTCAATTAAGTGAAGTTTATAATACTGTAGTTTATACCAGAGGATGGGATTGTATACTACCCAAAGCACTGCTTAAAAAATCTCATAAAAAGGCTGTTAGTCGAGTAGATACAACAAACGAAAACAATTTTACTATTGAAATAACATCTCCGACTGGTAGTGGTATACTTTCTTTGTTGCTACCTTTGTTATCTTCATCTGCAATAAGTTTGGATTTATCAACGCATAAACATTTAATTTCTCTTGCGGGTAATCTTGCATCTGGGTTGGCTCTTTGCAATTTAAAACCTAATGAACCAACAAACAAACATGATTCTGATACACCAAATCTTTGGCGTATGTTTAAAGATAAACAAACTTGTCAGTATATGGAATTATTATTGGCTCATGTTATGAAAGTTTTAAATATTTTTGTTTATGTTATTGATGATATACAATTAAATCAAGTAACTACAAAATCAACGATATCTTTGTCAGCTACGCATACTTTATCTCCAAAGAAAAAAGTAGTTCCTGAACAGAAACAAAAAGAAAAAAAAGATAAGTTTTTAAATTTGAAGCTTGAAAAAGAACCAGGGGGATTATTCACTGTTATTCCTCATTATATGAAGATATATGACAATCTCAAAGCAGCACATTCTAATTATCTTGTTACTCTTGAACCAGAAGCTAGCGAAATGTATATTGCATTATTAACTGCTGTATTGGATACACTTTCGCAAATTCTTGAAATAGCCACTTTTAATGAAGCTGGCGGGATAGCAGATGAAATTCTTTATTATCTACAGACAACTGTTACTCTATCACCAACTGCAACTATTCAGTGTGTACAGCAATTGTTGAAATGTTTGTTTGGTAAAAATCTTGGTACTCTGTGGAGTGATCAGGATATGCAGCAATATGCAGAACAGAATATTTCATTGAGAGATACTTCTAAAGGCTTCTATAATCAATGTTTTCAAAATCCAGCTAGACATATGGCAGAGATGATCAAAATAATAGGAAATAATTGCAGAGATGAAAATAAACCAGACACTGGGTAAGTATCACATACATTTATAAATTATATTTGAGATTAATTTGATTCTGACCTTTTATGATTTTTAGATGGATAGGTTTAACACGTAGAAAAGGAGATAGAAAATTATCATACATCTATGCTTCGGATCATAAAGCTTCTGTAGCTACTTTTATTCGTTTATTTGAACCAATGGTTATAAAATCTATGGAACAATATACTATAACGAGCAATATTTCATTGCAATGTCAAGTGCTTATGCTTTTGAGTCAACTGATTCAACTGAAAGTTAATTATTGTTTGTTAGATTCAGATAAGATATTTATTGGATTTGTATTAAAGCAATTTGAATTCATAGAAGAGGGTCAGATACAACAAGCGGAGTATCTTTTACCAAAAATTTTTACTTTTTTGGTGCATTTATCTTATGAAAAAAATCACTCGAAGGTTGTAATAGGTATTCCTAAAATAATACAATTATGTGATGGACTTATGGCAAGTGGACAGCCAGCACTTAAATATTGTATACCAGCACTTGCACCAGTAGTTGGAGATATTTTTCTTATTCGTAATGGAAGTTCTAATCAAGCAGAACAAAGAGAATTGGAAACAACCAAAGAAGTATTAATTTCAATGTTACTTCGTCTAGTGGAATATCACGAAGTCATCGAGCTTTTAGCACTGTGTGTCTCAGAATCTAGATTTAGTGGAGATGGAAATGGAGAAGAAAAATGGAGAAGATGGTCTAGAATGACTACAGATACTGTACTTCCCTTGTTGGGAATGCGTAAAGTAAGACTGGAATCGGAAAATGCTCATATGGCTTTAGTCAAATTATTTGCTGCAATTTCTCCTACTGTTTTCAGACCAGTAGATCCACTTTTAAAAATACTCTTTACTGCTCCTGTTACTTTGAAAGAACCAGTTTTTAAATTAAAACGTTGGTTGGGAATGATCAATGTTATATTATTAACACTAATCTCTTGTGCTAAAGAGGATTCAATGTTAGCACGATTATCGGATCTTAGCGTATATATGACAGATCTTTCACACTTGTTATTATTTCCAGATAATATGTCTAAAGTTATAGATCCATTGAATGCACTTGGAACTCAGTCTGCACAAATACCACCAGAAAAAATTTTAGCCAGATTCATATTTAAAGTAATTAGCCTGATAGGCACGAAAGTTTTTAATATTCTAGGATTAATTAATCACAAAGCTACAGATCCTTATACAGGATTTGCACAGCATACGGATAACGATGATTATCTGGTGCATCAATTTGCATTCTTTTTACAATTGTGCATACACATGTTTGAGTCTGGAAGTCATTGTAAAGTGGCAAATGCAGCAATGCAAATGATTCAAAATCGTAATAATCTTGATGAGGACAAGTTTCCGATAGATAATTTAAATTCTTTAATGTTAAGCATTGGACATGTGTGTCCAATGTTGACTTGTCAATGGGCTTATTTAATGACATTATTAAGCTATAATGAGATGTTATTTTGGTCTAAAGTTTTGGGCACACGAAATTCAGATTATATAGTAAGAACTGTTCCCAATGAGACTAAAGTATACGATCATATAAACAGTATAAATGTACAAATTATTCATAAAGGTGGAATCATATTATTTTGTGATTATGTATGTGAAAATCTCAATGATGCAGAACCTTTAACATGGTTATTGGTGAATCATATTGAAGAAGCAATAAACATAGCTACTGAATCTCCAGTAAGAGAACTTTTAGCAGCAGCTATACATAGAAATCCTGCAGCCAGTGGTCTCTTAGTACAAGCCATTTCAACAAAATGTGTTAATTTATCACAACCCAGCTTTGTAAAACGTATATTGCAATGCATCGAAGATGCACATCAATCTCAAAGTGGTGCAGTCATAATGATGTTAATTCCTAAATTTTTATCCATCAAATATCTTGCTTTATCAAGAATGGCAGCAAAAATGGCTAGTAGAAGAATCGAAATTTTATTAACATTGAACGCATCAGATGTTATAGAACAATTTCCAAAAGATGATTTAATAAAGGTCATGGATACATTACAGACTACTAAGCTAGCTAAGAAACATGGAGCACTAGTCAATTTATTGAATAAATTAGGAGTACATTTTTACGATCTTTCACCTTTCGAACCTGATTTATGTAGACCTTTTAATCCATTAATCGTAAAAACAATTCAACTAGATCGCGATTGGTTTCTCTCACAAATAAAATTACGTTGTTGTCATCAGAATGTTACATATAGTACTCATGAATCAGCACAATTATTGAGTAATTTAAATTTTGAAGACTGTTTGAGTATTATTTCTTGTAAGGAGTTTGATATAATGATTTTAAAAGACTGCATAACATTGGGTGTAAGATTGACTATCGAGAATTGCCAAAAGTTAGAATTAGAACAAATGAATGACAAAAAAGTTCATTTTGAAGCAAGTCCTTTATATATAGCTGCTAAACAGTGTTTGTTGGAACATGTACGTAATGTAACTGAATTTATGCCAAAACCACATTATGTATTTAATCCACAAAAATCCGATACTAATAGTAAAGAAGTGAAATATGCAACAAGGATATCCAAACTTTTAGACGATTCCATATACTGGAATACACTTTTAAAAATCATTCCAGTTGTAAGAGCATTTACTAAAACATTGTCAAAATTAACTAGATATAATTTGGCACAAATGGATGCTAAAGCTGAAGAAGATTGTGCTAAGCTAGCATTATTATGTTTCGAATTAACACATTGGATGATACATGTAAATAAAGAAAATATTAGAAAGTTACGACCAAGTGAAGTAGAATTAGCATTGAGTTGTGCTGCAGAAATTTTGAAACACGAAGGCCCATTCAAGATATTTGCGGATCACACTCGATACTCTTGGGTATGTTCTTCAATACTGGCTATGACCAAAGTAGTTGAAAACAATTTAACGACGGTTGAATCGTTACCTCACGTTGATGCGTGCTCGTTACAACCAGCTTTTCAAGATGAAGAAACGAAGCATTATGCGAAGGCATGCGTGCAGATAGCATCATTGGTTGTTTGGCTTGAAAAATGTCATACCAATAATAGCTCGAAAAACATTCCTCCTTATTTATTTAATATAATTAAAACTCTTATTGTACTTATTAGTCGTCAACCTTTGGTCAATTCTTTTGTTCTAACGCCTCCTTTGGTTTGGAAACATGGTTGGCATGTAATGGGTTCTGGTACAACTAAATGCCATTTTCCATTGTTATCAACCGAATCAAATCTTTTACAAGAGATCGACATTTTAGAACAATTTATTTATAGAATTAATTTGTTGGGTTGGACTTCGCGATTACAATTTGAAGAAATATGGATGGCGTTATTGGGATTGTTAAATCTCTCACAAAATGAAAATACTTCTTCGGAAGAAGCAACAGCGTTAGTACAAGCAAGTTGTTTAGCTATTCAAGCTATAACACAATTATTATTACAAACAATGCTTCTACCACATCCTGGTAATCCAATTACCAGTTGTTTGATTCATCATTCACGAGATCCTCAACTTTCGGTAGTGAAAATAAGCTCACAAAAATTATATACCATACAAGATTTATTGACATGGAAATTCGAATGTATGAGTGATATTCAGAATATAAATGGTCTCAGATTAGATCATATATTTCATAGAGGAAACATAGAAAAGATTAGAACTTCAGATAATTTTACTTATAGTCAATTATCAGTTTCCTATTTATGGTCGTCGTGTAATCTATACGAAAATAAATTGAATACCTCTGTTCTTGAATTAAAAAATAGAAGAAGTGATGCATTAAAGTCTGCATCATTAGATGTAGATTCCTGTCTTCGATTTTTAGTGGAACTTTATACTTCTTGGTTGTCGCCACAGGCGAATATTCCAATACAATTGCTCACTGAAACTATGAAATCTCTTTTAGCTATTTCTGATCTCTTTGTTGAAAGAGCACAATATCAATGGATATTAGATGTCTGTTTAGAAATTGCAAAAGTACATCCAACAGAAAATGTTATCTTATATCAGTATTTGGTAATATCTGTATGTAAAGCTGCTGCAGTATTAATACCACTGGTATGTATTACATTATATTATAAATACAAAAATTATATATATATATATCAAAATTATTAATTGAAAAAAATATTGTTGTAGGATTTGGATACATTGGAAAAGGTGAGAGGATTGATTGACATCAACCTTAAATCGGGTTTCTTAGCTGCTAGAGTCGCAGCACTTCATGGCGTCTTGTATTTATTACAAAGTGCATTTCAGGCTAATTATAAAGAAATTTTGTATATTTTATTATATCCATTGATTATTGATTATATACAAAAACACATAGCCAATCAAGATACAGAAGGGTAATATACCATATGTTTTGAGAATGCGATTTTTATTTGATTTGTTAAGAATAAGATAAAACTTTGTTTTTCATTCATCGTTTTAGGGTATCAAATCAAAGCGAGGAACATCAAGGTATCATGTGGGCCTTAGTATTTTTCTTATTAGAACATGTAGTAGATGTGCCGTTGGCTGTGGAAACTCCTACTGTGGTTGAATTAGTTCTTTCTCTAGTCATGTCACCGAATATTTCAATTACTTTACATCAAACTCTTTTACAGGTATATTTATTTTATCATTTTCATTTAAAAATCAATTGTCTTTCTCAACAAATTATTTCAACTGTTATATTTTTCTAGGGTCTCGAAAGATTAATTATAACAAAAAGTGTAACGGGTAAAGTTGCTGAACAAATTGTCAAAGTAGCTACGGAACGTTTAGGACACATAAGTCCGTTGTATGCATTACCAGCTTTACAACTTTTATTAACATGCATGTATACAGAAGCAGCAGATAGATTAAATCAGCCAAATGTTGATGAACCATTACCGGGTATTGAACCGGAATCATTGGTTCGATCTATTGAACGAACCTCTGCCATATTCGATAGAATTAAGAGAGGTTATCCAATGGAAGTAGAAATTCTATGTTCAGTTTTATCAGGTGTTTTAGCAGATTTCTTTCCACCATCCGAAATCTTAACTAAAGTTATAGGTGAATTTTTATCACCTCAACAACCACATCCTCGATTGCTTTCAGGCGTAGTGTTCAAAGTTAGTAATAAGATACTCATATATTTAAAAACATATGAAGATATTAGATATTAACTAAATTCGTTTATTAAATGTAGGTCTGTGAAAGAGCATGTACGTCTACAAAAATGAGTTTATTACAAGATTGGGTGGTCTTCAGTTTGCCAAATTTTATACAGAGTTTACCATTGGCTATGTCCACTTGGTGTCTTTCTTGTTTCTTTATAAGCGCATCTACGAATAATTGGTTGAGAGCTTTGTATCCTTTTTATCTTCTTACTTTCAATTTTTTTCTATTTGAAGAATAAACAAATCGTGTGATTCCCTTAACAAACATCAATATAGATTCCCACATGTACAATCAAGGATTGGAAAGTATGAATACGAGGATAAGAAGATTTTGTGTTTAGCAGCTAATGATTTTTATCATAAGGTAAATACAAGCATGGAAATTTGATTCAAATTAAATGTATTAACAAGTATTTTTAAAATTCAATTACTTGATTTTATTTACAGTTGCCTGAGGAATCTCAAAGGAAAGCTTTCGTCGAGACATTCGAAGTTGCAGCTAAAGAACCTGGAAATCCATTCATTGATATATTAGCATCATTTTAGTTAGCTAAATTGTATATCTTATTGAGGAAAGAAATTTATTTGAAAAAAAAAAACAAAAACAAAAACAAAAAAAAACATTTTTTAATAATATTTCAGGTGATTCTTCTACTCTTGTAAATTAGTGTACATTAATCGTGCGTTTATCATTGTCTTTTAAAGACGTAAGTATGTACATTTGTATGTATGTATGTATGTATGTATGTATGTATGTGATATTTATTTCACTCACGTCCCTTTAACAAAAATGCAATTTGTTTTGCAATAAACAGTATTTTTCAACTATCGTGACTAACTAATTAATAAAATATGAAATCTATTCAATTCTTAACTTGACTTTTAGTTCTTTTTATGTTTCCGTATATAAATATACAAATGCAATGTCCCATAATATAATATTTCATAGAAGGATATTACACTGCAACCAAGGAACAAACCAGCAGCTCCACCGATTGATGCTGAATGAAGAAAATAGAAAAGAAAATCTATTAAAAATGCTAACATTGAGAAAAATTGAAAATACATTGATAAAATGTTTTTAAACGTACTTAAGAAATCACCAAAAGTGTACCATTCTCTACGTTTATATTTGCTTTTCGTAAAATCTATTGTCATTTTGAAACTCGTAGTATTTATGGGTGTTACTTCTTTCCTATAATTATCAAGTATACTTAAGAATTGTTTCTTTAGAATAATTATTATTATTAACATTATGAATATTCTTTTTTGATAATTACAATTTCGATATTGTAACTTCGTCCGCCAAATAAGATACTGTATTGCAATTATAGTGACAATTACAGGAATGTGGTTTAACGTTAAGTAATCCTGATCGTTGTATTCTTCCGATACAACGCAATTGTGCGGGATTACAGACAGGAACACCATCTGAGAAATTAAATAGATATAATAGATATTATTTAAATAAAAGAAAAAAAAAATCAAAATATATAAATAATTTTACGTATTCGTCTCAAAAAGTGAGGATAACAACCGCATTTAGTTTTAATTATATGAGCTCTACATTCAGTCATACACATAAAGTATGAATATATTGGCCATAATTTCAATCCATTGTCAAATGGAAATCCACAATGTCTTCGACGTATTGGAATTTTATATATACTTTTCATAGAATCTCCTTGATTGATTCTAAGTATACAAACTTGATAATCAAAAATTTGTAGAAAATTTTTAGGTGCTTCCCAATATGAATCTATGGGATTAAGTATGCTAAGCTGTTTATAAAAAATGAAGATAATCATATTAATTGGTTAATAATTATTAAATAGTTTATTTCAATTCTAATACCATTATTGGAGTATCACTTTTCACTAATTCTGTTTTTCCATGATCTTTGTCGTAAGTATAGGATGGTAAATAATTGAAATTATCTATATCTTCATCAGCTGTTTCAAAATCTTCTGAATCTGGTGGATGATTAGGCAAAGGTATTACAGTCCAATTGTTAGACAATAAGCTTCTAGAATTAATAAATTTGTTCTGTTTTTTTTTTTTTTTTTTTTCAGTATTTGACAAATTCGTGTGTTGAATTTTTATTCAGTTTTTTGATGCTTACTGTAAACTTGCATACTGGAGTACAAAGTTTCCTACAGAAACACATAAACCGTTTTCAGTAGCAACCCATATTCCTTGACCAGTCAAAGTTGTTTCATAAGTGAATTCCATTTTTAAATCTGATAGAATTCTAAGCCATAATTCTGGTGGTGCATCATCGTAATCAGGTGTATTGATCATAGTTTCATAGGTAGCGTTTGATAAGAAATAAAAAAAATCTCGAGCTTTTGGTGTATTCTCGATGCCATAACTGGAATTATCAGAATTTTAATTTCTAAAATAATTACAGTTTGTTTATTCAATTAATATTTTTTATTTTTATAACTTAACAACACTGTTATAATTAACAAAAAATATTAAAATTTGATAATAATTAATAGACATGAACTATACCGTTTAAAAGTTGTAGGAAAGCTGGATTCTTGGATTAAATTTATTGGACACATAAGTATCGATGGTTTCAAAAGTCTGTACAGTTTATATTGATGATTCGAATATACAGAAATAGCACCATACTCGTATCGATACCAAGAAATTATGGAGATATAAATCAAGTTTGCAAGTGCAACTAATATAATTATGGTTACAAGGATCCTTTAACAAAATATTATATGAAATAAACGATTATTAAACGTAACGATAATTATGAAAGTGAACTTAATCAAATAATTGAATAAAATTTATTTCATGATTTAATTATTGTATTTAATTCATTGTTATAATTTTCTAATAATTATAACTTTAAAATATTAATTATTGAATTAATTTTGTCACTTAGTCCACTGTCATAATTATTGGTACAAATATGATTTATTGTTTATTAATAACAAATAACATTATTTTTGTTCAATACCTCTCAAACATATGTCTGTTACGTGCAACCAGATGTTTCAATCCATTGATACTTGAATTACTTGCAAATTCAACGAAATACCGACCCATTAATGATTTTGCATTTATTATATTTGTATCCACTTGTGTAATTGATTCATTCGATACTGATTGAACATTTTCAATATTTAATTTCATACGTTTTTGATAATCCGGCGCAATTTCAAAAATATAAGAGAACTTATCTCTTTCTTTGATCATTTTTTCTTTTTTTGTAATCATGCTGAGAGTTGAAAAAGCTTTTAATGGATTGAACAAGAACAAGTCTCACATTTTTATGACGAATTATATGAGATAGATCGGATAAAAGTTGTTAAATAAATAATTCAAATAGTAGTACGTAATAAAAGTAGGATTTATGGATTTGTAGGATTTTTTTTTTTTTCTAACTGAGAAACATGTAACGTTTAAATAATTAATTGAAATTTTTATGAATTTTATTGATTTTTATTCTTTTAACGTGAAATTAAAATTTACGTAAAATCATTTATGTAAAAATAATACACAATGATTTACAGTATATCATTGATAAATTATTTTTTAAGACACATTGTATATTATCGTACAAACTACTTTGTTTTTAAAGAAAAAAAAAAAAAAAAAAATAATAAAAAAACAAACGAAGCAACAAATTTTCTCACGCATTTCGAGTTTTGTGATATTTTTCGTTCATTTTGACATTTACGGTTTTTATGTTTCATTTTATTTTTCTGCCATTAGCATCGTCTCTCGTTTTTCTTTAAATACATTTTAAATATTTCGATATTTTAATTGATTTTGATAATTTAATTGTGTCAGTGAGAAAAATGAAAGATTACATTTGTAACATCGGTAGAGTATTATAAACTTATTATGAATACAGATTACAAATTTGATTTTTCGAAGTTCCGGTTTATCCGGAATATTATTGAAAAAATTATCAACAAAAATGGTAAGCTTTTATCAATTAATTTAATAAATAATTGAACAATTTTATTATCGCATTGCAAAATCAAATATTTAAAAGTGAACACTTCTTTTTATTTTTTAAATTTAACACAATTGTAAATATGTAAAATAAATTTTAATTTATTAAATGTTAATTTATAAATATATAATATTATTATATTAAATATAAATATAAAATTCTTTTAATTTATTAATTATATTTATTACATTATTAATAATATAATTATTATAAAATATTATAAAATTAATATAATTTAAAATATAATTATAATAATTTATTATTATATTAATTGATCGTTTATAATAATATATAAATAATATTTTTTAAATTAATTTCTTTTTTATTATTTATAGGAGGACACCGAAGAAGATGTCTGCCATTTTCAAGAATTATACAAAAGAAAACCATGTTTTAAAAAATCAATCTCACATTATCACACTTATCCTAATTATGCTTCCGGTGATCCTTATTCACGATGTGAACATTCAATTATGTACGACGTAAACCAACAAGAATCTTATGGACGTAAAAAGAAATCTAAAACTCATCGTTGTCCTTCCTGTCATTGTCAACTTGATTTCAAAAGAACACCCTCCAAAACGAGGTATTTAAATCAATTATATCAATTAATCATATTTTCATAATGAGTAAAATATTCGGCAATCTACAATCAGCAAAAAAAAAATTTTTTTTTCTTATTCTAAAAAAAAAAATTATATCTTTAAAGGGACATTGATAACATCGAAGCAGTATTTAAAAAAACCGAGCACATATTTGACAACGCATTGGCAAATGGTGGTGTGAAAAAATCTTATAGTATTCCACTTTCACCAAAATCTAATCCACGTTGTCATCGTACTCATTCAAAAAAGATATCTAACAATAATCATCGACAAAAACAACGCTGGAACGACGATGACGATGACAAGTTTAAGATGATGATCAATGATATTGTGAATAAAGGGGTTGAGAATGAATATTATATTAAATGTCCTAATAATTTGCCAATTAAAAGTTCCACGAAGAAGGATTGTCATTGGAAGAACGATCAAGTATTAAATATATTCATTTAATTCTATTTTAATGATTTATTATATCAATTAATTATTGTTTAATACGTTGAGCGCCACGTCAGTCATTGATGACTGACACTCAACTATTTTTGCAATACAAATTAACGCCTGTGGCCTGACGGGAATTTCCCTAAGAATTCGCGTGGAACTCAACGTATTAAAAG